TGAGCAAGACTCCTTTCGAGATGAGTTTGGGCTCACCAGTGAGCACTGAGATTGGTGAGCTAGCAGCGGCAGGCAGCAGAGGCAAAGAGAGCACCTCACTGGTGAGCAAGCTCAAAAAACCGGGGAGGCCTCCAGGAGCTATACCGATCTGGGTCACAAGGCACCAAAGTGTTAGGTTTTGTCGGTGGTGGCAGCGGCAGCAGCAGTGGTGGCATGGCAGAGAAGCAAAAATGAGGGAGAGGGGAACCTTTATTAACTCTGAAAACACAGAGAGAATCAAGCACAGGGAGGAGACAGGGAGCCTGAGACTTTGTGGACATTAACTAGGCGCGGAGCTTGAGGGGCAGGTTCAGTGACACACAAGAAGTGACTGGAGGCTCCCTTGTGTGAGCAGGAAAGGCTGGAGTGGGGAAGGAGGAGGAAGTGGGCATGGGGAAGATAAGATGCTGTGTGGGGGGATTCAGCCATGTTAAATCAGGCCATGATAATTTAGCAGTTTGTACTGGGGCCGAAACTGTCAGAAAACCCCTAATTCTGGGGCAGGTTAAAGGGCAGGAAATTCCAAGTCGTGGGATCCCAGTATCGCCGACCCTGCAGCGGTGTGCTCTACGAAGAGGATGAGTGGGGGGGGGAAGCAGAGCTGCCCCTCATCTTCCCACAGCTCCCCTGACTCAGTCACCCCTCGGCTTTGATTGGCCTAAGGCAAAATACTTTACTTTTAGCTTCACTTAGTGTCAAAAGTTCAGCCTTTCCCTGTGATTGTAGACAGACAGCGGATTTAAAATTGGTAGCCAGTGGGCTTGAGATGCCAAGATCACCTCAGCCCTTTTGTCCCCAGCGTTGGAGTCCAAATGCACAGCCTCTCGTACATGTTCATGACTCATTTTTTTTTTTTTTTTTTTTTTCCTTTCTTAAAAATTATAGTTTTCAGGGGCCGGCCCCTTAGCTCAGTTCTTTAAGTGGCTGCTTCAACAAAGCAGTCAGGCTCAGGTTGCTGTGGTTGGATCCCCACAACTCAAGCCAGCCAAACCTGCCCTGAAGGCATTCGGAGCAAAAAATATATATATATATAGTTTTCTTTCCTCATAGGAGGGCCCATTTGGGTTGGGCCAGGTGCTGGAGAGTGGTCCAGATGACCTCTTCAGATGACCAGAGATGCTCACAAGGCTCTAGACAGCGGTGATGCTACGTAGAGACCCATCCGTGTCGGGCATCCTTTCTGCAGGAAGTGCGCCCATTAAGGATCAGGCTGAACCTTCATCACTAGGGTGCTTAGTCTCGTAGAGTAGCGAGGACAGCCACCGTGTGACCTGCAGAGGGCTGGATGCGGGCCTGCAGGCACAGTGCTCCGGCAAGCTGAGGCCAGAGGCTCACAACTTCAACCCAGCCTGGACAAGACAGTGACTTCTAAGACTATCTCGAAAACCTGGGAACCCACGTCCAAAAGCCAAGAGAAAGTTTGGAGGTTGTTATCAATACCACAGCATACACAAGAGCCCTCACTAGCAGCCTCTGGAACAGCTAGGAATGGCAGGAAAGGCAATTTCTCCAGACTTCTTTCTGCCCCTCCACACAGGAGTATCTTCCTGCACCAATTTGGACATTTAATGGTTTAATGCGCTATGTAAGGGGCTGTTTGTCTCTCCCAAAGGTTGGGAGATTTCACCACTGCCTTCGGGCCCACTCTCTAGCCTAGCTGGGGGTAGGGGCTGCCCAGAGAATGACTTCTGCCATTGGAGTATGTGCCCCTTGGGCACACTTACTGTCTTACTGAACAACTCAGCTGGTTGCTGAAGCAGTGACCAGACCCCGTCAGCCTCTATCAGTAGCACCTGCCATCTGCCAGCCCCGTGCCAGGCGCGGGGTCTGCCCTCGAGAGCACATGGTCTGGCAGAAGGGGAGACGCTGGCAGACATAGTCAGCCCAAGCAAAGTGCTGGGAGCACGGAGGAGCAGGGGCTCAGGTGAAGGGACCTCAGAGACTCATGCCTTGTGACGACAGGAAAGGCTTTTTTTAGGCTTTGGACTGTGACACCTCCCAAGAAGTAGTGGTGAGTGCAGGAGCTTAGCCTGGGAGGGCTGGGGGACGAGTCAGCATTTCTGTACCTAGAGAAGAAGATGCCAGGCCAGAGAGAAGCCGGGCCTTGGGTGCTGTCCGGAGGCCCAAAGGGCTTGGGCCAAGTGCAGGCAGAGGATGGCAGCAGCGCACTTTCCTTATTCATCTGTTCATGATGTAATAAAGCCAGGCGTGGTGGCGCATGCCTGTAATCCCAGCACTTGGGAGGCTGAGGCAGTAGGATCGTTGCAAGTTCAAGACCAGCTAGGCTACAAAGTGAGTTCAAGGTCAGCTTGAACTGCATAGCGAGACCCTGTCTCAAAAAGAAAAAAAAAATTAGAACGTGGGTAGTTTCCTGCTCTCTGGCTTCCCTAGACAGGGAGTGGGGGCAGCAGTGTGGGGTAAAAGATAACGAGTCCACCCTGCCGGGCACCAGTGATATTGTCCATACCCCTGTTTTCACCTTTAAGTTTTTCAGAAGTTTGCTGTCTTCCACATCCCTGGCTGGGACCCTCCACTGTCATCTCAAAGCGCATATCCCCTACCCCAACCCATGCTGGGGATTGAACCCAGAAGTCATGCTTGCTAGGCAGGCACTCTTCCACTGAGCCAAGCCCCCAGATAATTTAATGTTTTAATTTACAGAAGCTGTTGCATGGTTTGGTCGTGCTGTGTTTTAAAAGTATGCATACATCACTGGTTGGATTCAGCACATTAAAGATCGCATTACCTCGGTCAGTCTCGTGCTCAGAGTGCATGACCTCCTCGCCTGCAGAAGTGCAGCGTGCCGCCCTTCACTGTGGTCACTGCACTGTGCAGTAGGCCTCTTGCAGTTTCTTCCCCCATGTCTTAACTGCATATCCTGCACGCACACACACACCCACGCATCCAGCTTCTGGTAACCACCATTATTTCTGCCTCAGTGAGATCAGCTTCTTCCGATGAGTGAGATCATGCAGCAGCCTTTCTCAGCCTTGGATTTTAATATACTTCCTCCAGTATGAGCAGTTTGCAGACCCTAGAACTGGCTGGCTGTGTCCGCCCTCCAGTGAAAACACCCTTTGCTTCTCTCGCTGCCCTTCCTCCTGGGTTCGCCCAATACAGCACCTTCGTGATGCCTTCCCTGACGTGCTCGGCCACAGACCACCAGTGGTAGTCAGTATAGATCTGCCCACAGCCGTGTACCCTCCTGTCCACCTCATGGGAAGACTGGCAGGTCGTCACCACTGCTGCCACACGTACCCCTACACCCACCACACCCCGCAGGCAGCTGGCATCTCTGGGTGCGCTGTGCCTGTCTAGGTGCAGGGGACACCCATAAATATTTCTTAAGTGATTAAGCCCAGAGGGGCGCTCCCAGCAGAGTTAGAAGATTCCAAAGTACAGAATGAAAAGCACCAAAGATGAATGTGAATTACGTGACTGCTGTAGGTCTGCTTCAGGGCACCCCTCCCCTTGTTACCTAGGTGAATGGCTGTCAGCTTGCTTTCTGTGCATGGAAGGGACTAGAGGGGAGAAAGGAAAGCCAGGTGCTGTGATGCCTACCCATAATCCCAACACAGAGCCTGAAGCATAAGGATCACAAGTTCAAGGCCACCCTGGGCTCCATAATTAGCTCAAGACCAGCATGGATTACACAGCAGTTCCCTGTCTTTAAAAAAAAAAAAAAAAGGAATAAGGGAGAAGGAAGGCAGAGGCCCAGGCAGGAGATCTGGCAAGGGTTTAGAGACCAAAGTGCAGCTGCCATCTAGGACCTGGATCCACCTGAGAGCTGATCTACACCCCTTCTCCCTTCCTTCCTAAACTTTTGGCCCGTTTTGTACCGCCACCTGGTGGCCACACCTCGAAATGACAGCCCCCTGCACGGAGAGCCTTTAAGGCAGAAAGCAGTTTGAGGTTGGCCCACAGCTGTGACAGACACTGAAGAGCACAGAGATTTGCCTTGTCCCGGTGAGGCACTCCACAAGCTCACTGTCAGCTTTTTAAAGATGTCTCTAGCCTCCAAAAGGCTGAGAATCACTGCCGTAAAGGATTCTTTTTTTTTTAAATGAAATTTCCCAAAGAACTATAGCATAAAAGGTAAGGAGGCAGATCTGGATCCCTGCTGCTTGGAACCCCACGCTCGACCTTCCCAGCGTACTTACGCACAGCTCGGGAGCTAGTTCTCGTGCAACCGAAGGCCTCCAGCAGCCTCGGCCCACCGCGCCCTGGAAGCCGGGAAGCCCACAAGGGCAGACTTGGGATATTTCTCGATGTCTGGAACGAGCTTGATGCCGCTCACCAAACAGTAATACAAAGTACAAGACGTCTACAGCTTACATTTAAGCTCACTATAAATCTCTACAACTTACAGATAGCGTCAATACCAGTGAGCTGGTGTATTTCACAGGAGTAAAATTTAGACAGAAAATGACCTGCCCCACCACCTTGAGACACCTGTGTAGTTCAGGCTGGCCTTGAATTTGCTACACAGCCCCAGCAGCCACGGGCTCCAGCGAGCCTCGTGGCCACTGTGCCCAGCTAGTTATAACTGCTGTATTGCTATTTCTGCCTGACAACAGCCTCGCAGTTCTTTCTACTATCTGTGGCCTTCATAGTCAAATGTTTATATCTTTGTACTTAAAACAGTGACCAGGTAAGTGTGACTGGCTTGTTGATACTAGTTTAGGAAGCAACTAACCCCTTCTAATGACAGCCATCTGGAGCCCAGCACTGGCTTAGCACTCTGAAAGCTGCGTGATGTACCTTCAGTCCCCATGGTGCAGACATGTGGACTAGAGTTCCACAACCACAGTGAGGCAGGTCTTGGGCAGCCCTGAGGCCCCCCAACTCCTCAGGCCCTGGTCTCCGTGCCTGTGAGCTACCTGGGTTCTGGACATCCACCATGCCTCTGAGGGCAGTCCTGGCCTCTTCCCACTGCCACCATGCTCTTCTTTCTCTTGTAGGAGTGCCAGCTTTTCTCAGGGGACCAGGCAGAAGAGCGACACAGCCATGCAGAAGTTGGCCCAGGGCAATGGGCACTGTGTCAACGGGGTCAGTGGTCAGGTCCATGGCTTCTACAGCCTTCCCAAGCCAAGCCGACACAACACAGAATTCAGAGACAGCGCCTATGACCTCCCCCGGAGCCTGGCCTCGCATGGCCGTACCAAGGGCAGCCTCACAGGGTCCGAGACGGACAACGAGGATGCGTACACCTTCAAGACGCCCAGCAACACCCTGTGCCGGGAGTTTGGGGACCTCCTGGTAGACAACGTGGATGTCCCAACCACTCCGCTCCCAGCCTACCAGGTCCCTAGGACTTTCACACTGGACAGGAACCACAACGCCATGTCTGTGGCCATCCCTGGGGAGTCAGCCATAGCCCCTCCTCCCCGGCCCCCCAAGCCAAGTCAGGCAGAAACACTTCGATGGGGCAGCCCTCAGCAGAGACCCCCAACCAGCAACAGTAGATCTGTCGCTGCCACAATCCCCAGGCGCAACACACTCCCAGCCATGGACAACAGCCGACTGCACCGAGGTCAGTATGAGCAGAAGCAGCACCCTAGAGGGAGACGGAGGTGGAGGGGAGGCCGGGGGGGTCCTCAGTGGCTGCCACGCTGAGGTAGCTGAGGGCCACACAGACATTAGGCATCATCTTCCCCAGTCCCAGCAGCTGGTCCTCTAGCTGTTTTTATGACACCCACAATGGAAGACCCTGCCTTGGAGAAATGAACTTTCTGCTGAGAAACCCACAATATTCTTGGTCAACCACAGCACCACATTTTATGGTTTTGGAAAAAGAAATCATAATGTTTTATTCATTTAAAAATCAAACCAAAGATTTAGAAAATAAATTTAGAAAACCAGTCCAAACTTTGAGACAAACTTATATGGATTAACAGACTAATAAAATGAGATTTTCAAAATATTTTGTATACCATAAACTCTCTTTGGCTTAAGTCTGACCTTCCATGTAAAGTATCTCAGTTCTGGGCCAGGGATCTGGCTCAGTGGCACAGTGCCTGCCTAGCAAGTTCAAGGTCCTGAGTTCGATTCTTAGCACGGAAAAAAAATAAAGTACCTCAGTTCTGTTGTCATTTGTTTACTGGGTAGATTCCAACTCTACATGTCTGAGGAAAACAGAACAATATTAATTCTTCTGTTTGCATCTTGCTTTTATATATAAAATTGCTTTTTTTTTTTTTTTTTTTTTTGGTGGAAGGTATCAAACTCAAGACCTTGCACTCGCCAGGCAGGCGCTTATGTAAATTGCATATTCTTGTCTTTGTGTGGTTGTAGTGGAGGTACTACTGGGGATTGATCCCTGAGCCTTTGCACTGAGCTACAGCATAAGCCACAGCCCTTGTTTTGAGACAGAGTCTTACTAAACTGCTCAGGCTGGGTTCAAACTTCACATCTTGCACAGCCTCCCAGAGAGCTAGGGTCGCAGCCATGTGTCCCAGGCCTGGCTTTACAGAGCTGTTCTTCCCCTTACTGTGGTTTAAGCCATGCAGAGATGGCAGGACAGACCCCTGCTGTCTCTGTGGCACAGATTCCATGACAGTTTAGTTATTAGGGGCAAAGATGAAACTGGCTCTACGTCCTGGCTCTTGGTTTAGCTCAAGCGTTGTCACACTATAATAGTCACAGAGGTGGCGGCTGGAGGAATCCAAGGAGAGGTGCAGGTGTGAGGCAGCAGGGAAAGGATAGGTTGGTTCTAGCAGGTGCCGCTGCTGCTGCTGCTGCTGCTGCTGCTGCTGCTGCTGCTGCTGCTGCTGCTGCTGCTGCTGCTGCTGCTGCTGCAGAGGCCCAGGAGGGCTGTTTGTCAATAGTGTGTCCTAGGATCGAGGAGAGTACTTCTGGAGCTTGAGCAGAGGGAGCTGTGCTGGAGGGGACCGGCAGGGGTGCACATGGCAGAGGAACCCACCCACACATGGTCTTCCTTTACCACAGCTTCCTCCTGTGAAACCTACGAGTGCCCTCCACGTGGTGGCGAGAACGCAGGCCGGTCTGCCGAGTCCATGAGTGAGGGAATCGCTTCTTTCCTGGTGAGTGGGCTTTGACCAAGGTGCCTTGGACCACTTAGGGTAAGGAGAAGGTCAGGCTTCATGGAACTTCTACACAGCCCAAAGGAATGAGCCCATTGCCCTCCGAGGACCCTTCCAGTGTTCCTGTCTCACTTCATAATCCTAGGTTGAGTTTTTGGACAAGAAATATGTAGGCACCCATGGCTGGAGGAAGTGCGCTTCCTCAGGTGGACCAAGGATGAAGTTTCCTCGCAGTAAGAAGTAAAGGGGTCTAGAAGCCAGCAGACCTGTTGCAGATAGGGGTCTCCTGTGCAACAGCCCTGCTCACCAGGGGCAATGTGGGGCCACTGCTGCAGAGACTGGGTGAGGCAGTGCTCGGTCAGGCCACAGGTTCAAGGTGCAGGGGAATGGGCCAGGGCCTCGTCCCAAGCCTGCTGGAAAGAGTACAAATTAAGTGGCCACGACAGGCAGTTGTATGATGTGGGCAAGGGCTGGAGAATGGCTCCCTGCACACCTCTGTGGCCACTATGTCTGGAGCCCAGTGGTCACCTGGATTTCTAAGGTATACCTCAGACCTGCTACGGGCTGGATGGAGGCTGCCCAGCTGGCCCCAGACCTCCCTCCCTGCGCCAAGACTCCTCACATGCTTCCTGAGCTGATGAGGTCTGGTCGCCGACCTGCCATTGATGAGTCCTCCACTGGACTTGGACATCCTCTGCCTCATCCGGGCATCTGAAAACCCGTGAGGACCCAGCCACCAAGGATAATTTATGCTGTAGATAAATCACACTGATAGGTAGATCCCAAGAGGTCAGAAAAGCGAGAAGGAAAGCCACAGGCTTCATTTGCGTCTGTCTCCCACCCTGCCTCCGAGCTTGGTCTTTCCATGGTCTCCCTTATAGCTTCACAGTGCAGCTGACCCTCCAGGACAGCACTGCTTCCTACAGATTCTCACTGTGGTGTAACTTGTTGCCATTCACACCGTTGTTTCTTTCCCCCTCTAGCCAGGGAAAACTGTGGTTGGTCGATCCGACAGTACCAGTTCCGAAGACAACTATGTGCCCATGAACCCAGGTTCTTCCACCCTGCTGGCCTTGGAGCGGGCAGGCGATAACTCCCAGAGTGTCTACATCCCCATGAGCCCAGGGCCACATCCATTTGACTCCCTTGGCTACGCTTCGACAGCCCTTCCAGTGCACAGAGGCCCCAGCCGAGGAAGTGAGATTCAGCCACCCCCAGTCAACCGCAACCTCAAGCCTGACCGGAAGGGTGAGTCCACTCCTCCTGCCCCACTGCAGGACAGCACCCAGCCTCCTTCAGCTTTTCCTTAGGGATCAGGTAGACTGGGCTTTGGGCTAGGACTTTTATGTAAATCATGTACATTCTCGAGACTTAGTTTTCTTACTAAGGAAATGGGGATGGTAATTCCCCCCCATAGATCTGTTCAGAATAGCACCGAGAACACCAGCAGGTGTGCCCTACGCAGGTGGCAGTCCTTAGATCTGTGGCCCTGCGTGGAGACCCAGAAGAGATACTGGAGTCGCAGATTCCCAGTCCACACTGCTGCTCTCCACTGGCCTCTGCTCTGGGAGGGACTCGCAGGACAGAGCAGCACAGCAGGGAACACAAACCTGATCCCTCAGAATTGAAATCTGCACATCCCGAGGCGTCTCCGCCTTTCACTGTGGTTTGCACAGCCCTGTGTGAAGGCAGCGGGGGGCTGTCACAGTGGCACTCTCCACCTCAAGTACAGGGTCTTGCGTTTGCATAGCACAGGTCTGGGAAGGACAGAACCTGCTGTCAGACCACAGACTCCACTTGAGACTCTGTAAGTCCAGTTACCACAGATACACCAGGAAGGGTATGTGAACTGGAGCCTGAAGCTGTGACTTCAGGGATAAAGTTTATACAGTTGACCCTCAGTATTTTCCAGTTCTACATCTACAGATTCCGCCAGTGAAGATCAAGATACTTGAAAATTTAAAAATATTACATGTTTTTTAATTTTTGCTTTTTCGTTTTGTCTTTTTGAGGCAGGGTCTCACTGTGAAGCTCAGGCTGGCCTTGAGCTCACTCTAGCCCAGGCTGGTCTCAAACTCATAGCCTTCTGGGCGCTGGGTTCACAGGCATGCACCACCACACCCAGCTCATTCCATCTATTCTGGGCAGGTACACAGTACAACGTGAGTGCTATTTACACCGTATCCGGTATCATAAGTAGGCTAGTGATGACCTGAAGGGAGCAGAAGGACATGAGTAGGCTGCAGGCCCGTACGGTGCCACTTCTCATGCGAGACCTCAGCATCCCCTGGCTTTGTAATAAGCCCTCGCACCAGTCCTCTGCAGAGAGCCTGCGGAGTTGCCCTGCTGAACCTGGAATGGTGCCAAGGCCACTGTAGATGTACCTGTGTGTCATGTGTGTGTGTTCCACTGTGCGGCACGATCACGGGCCGATTGCTGGATTCTGTTCCTGCCCCAGCCAAGCCAACACCACTTGACCTGAGAAGCAGTGCTGTCATCGATGAGCTCCCCTTCAAGTCCCCTGTCACCAAGTCTTGGTCCAGGGCCAAGTGAGTATCTAGGGAGGCAAGAGCTTCAAGTTGGGTGGGGTGAGCATAGGTGGGACTTTTCCTCCTGGGGGGTCAGGAGAGAAGGGCTCTGATGCCCATGCTGGCCTTTGCTCATCCTGGCCCTTGATCTCAGGGGCTTAGTTTCCTCCTGTAAAAGGGAGTAACTACACTCGCCCTTCATCGCTCTCCATCCGCTGAGGGGGCAGAGCTCCGGAGCCCAGCTCTGAGGTTCGTGCTGTCCTCTCCTCACCACAGCCACACCTTCACCTCCAGCTCCTCCCAGTACTGCCGCCCCATCTCCACTCAGAGCATCACAAGCACGGACTCAGGAGACAGTGAGGAGAACTATGTCCCTATGGTGAGTCCCTGGGGGTTCACTGGCATGATCTGCATCCTCATCCTGGTCCCTTTGCTGTACCACATGTGACTCATGGGCCCCATACAGCAGGCAAGGGTGCTGCCCACTGTAGGGAGGGTAAACGCAGTCAGGCGCAGGATACTGTGGTTCGATCCCCACCTCTATCTGCCTTACCAGACCCTCCCTTAAGGCAGCCTGAGCCAGCCAAAAAACGAAAATCTTTCTCAACCACGCCAGCCAAATAGCTCAGCAGATTAAAGCACCTGCAAGCAGGTGCAGGGGCCAGGGGTTCGATCCCATGGCCTGCTGTGCTGGGCCCATCCCTGGGGGCACGCTGAGCCAGCAACTGAGACCGCATGGTAGCATGTGCCTGTAATCCCAGCTCTTGGAAGGCTGTAAACAAGGTGGATCGCTACAAGTCCGACCTAGTAGTGAGACCCTGAACACCCTATAGACCTTTCCCTAAAATACAAAAAAAAAAAAAAAAAAAGAGGACCATCACCTTTGTAATTTGAATCAAACTTGGGGAACAGTCTAGACAGACACATGCTCTCGGGAGCCCAAGCTCACTGGGTTCAAGCTGCCTGAGCCTGTGTCTGCGAAGTGCAGAAGCAGTCGCTCTCAGTTGCCCCTGTGCCAGCCTCCGCGAGGCCGGGCAAGTGTGTGCTCTTCTAGGCGGGGGCAGGTGTTCCACAGGAGCCCTTCCCTGGAGGCTGGCGAGCGGGTGGGAACTCGCAGGCAGCAGCCGCACCTGAGGCCGGAGGCGGCCACGGGCCACACAGGTGTGGGAGCCCTGGGTTGGCTTCAGTTTAAATAACCTGAAGAGCAGCAATGCTGTCCTTGTGGGACTGTTGTGAGGCCTTGTATGTGCAAAGCCCATGGCACAGGACGTGGTGCACCACGGGACACGGTGAGCCCATCGCTCTTATTCCCAGAGATGTGTCTGGGTGATGGGTTTGCATCTTGCCTAAACTCAGGTTTTTCCTCCTCTGGACAGCAAAACCCCGTGTCTGCATCTCCCGTCCCCAGCGGCACCAACAGTCCAGCCCCTAAGAAGAGCTCCGGCAGTGTGGACTATCTGGCTCTGGACTTCCAGCCGGGCTCCCCCAGCCCCCACCGAAAGGTGCCTGGGTGGAGGGTGGTCACTGGGGGATCCGGGTGCCCTCCAGCTCGGCAGCACCCTCAGCCACCTCCAGAGCTGACTTGCATGGCTTACCTGGGCCTTCTCACCCTGTTTTCTCAGAACACAGGCTGAGCACAGCCCCTGGCCACAAACACACTTAGAGCTGTGCTGTCGGAGGCTCAGAGACCCTGCCTACCCTAGAACTTCTCCTTGAGGGAACTCACTGTCTAGAGGGGCCCAGCTGGTGACACAGTGGCCTGAGAAAGGCCTTCAGGAAAGTCTAGGATTGCCTGAGTGTCTAAGCAGCAGGCTGGCCCGCCGCCACGCACATGTCCCGCAGGGTGCTGTGCAGGCTGCTGAGAAGACACTTGAAGGGCTGGAGCTTGCTGCCACCCAACCCCTTCCTCCCCAGCAGTGTGGCCAGAGGGCTGGTGCTCTGAGGGAAGGAGAGCCAGTCAGACTGACGGCTCATCTGAGTGCCACAGGGACGAGCTCCACTCACCTCCCTCAGCACCACCTAGGACGTTCCCCTGCCCCCTCTCTCCAATTATTCATGGCATGTCCTACTTTGTCCCCTCAGCCATCCACATCATCGGTGACTTCGGATGAAAAGGTGGACTACGTCCAGGTGGACAAGGAGAAGACTCAGGCCCTGCAGAGCACCATGCAGGAGTGGACTGATGTGCGACAGTCCTCAGAGCCCTCCAAGGGGGCCAAGCTGTGATGCGGGGCCACTGAGCCCAGAGAGGAGGCAGGAGGCACATCTCCAGCGAGGGCTTCTTCTGTCTCCTCTCCCACCCCTTTCACTTCACTCTGCCACTCTCGGCCTTCAAAGCATTGGCATCAGGGCCCCTCCCTTGGCAAGTGAGGGCCCGACGGGGCACTTGCTGGGCCGGGGGACTTTACCACTATCGGCTGTGCCTCCTCCACCCACCTTAGGAGAGGGTGCCAGCAAGCTTCCTCCTGTCCTCGAGACCCGACTGTGTCCACCCAATCTTGGAGGGCATCCAGCCACAGCACCACAGCTCCCCTCACCTGTGGGCCATCTCCTGCAGGACAGGCAGGGCCCAAGACCAGCAGACCAAAGTGGACATGGACTCTTCCACCCTGCCTTTTGTGGTGGGAGAGGCAAGGCTGCCAAAGCTGCAGTCGTTGAGAGTGAAGGGCAGAGGTGGACAATTTTGTCTTCAGGGACAAGAATTAGATGTCCAGCTGCAGAGGCAGTGGGTATTTTCAGGGTCCCCCATTCCTAGGCCAAGAGCATGTAGGGCCACTGCTGGGGAGTGCAAGAGGCAAAAGAATAAAGGACAAAATAATGACAAGCGAGACAAACAGGGCATGGAGTGACAAGGACTCTGCTCCACCACAGTAGGATGGAAAGTCATCCACTTCCTGAGCCTTTGGTGGGGGGCAGGCTGAGTAGGGTGATTCATGGAGTGGGAATGCGCAGGTGACAGTGGGACGGACGTGAGATAGAGTGAGCAGGGAACGGGCGCTGCAGGGAAGAGGTGCTGTGAAGTGGGCGCGCAGGATGACCAATGGCTGCAGGGTGCGTGCACAGGTGCAGAGCCAGCTCTGGGCCCCAGAGTGCAGGTAAACAGGGCCAGGGCCATGCAGTGGGGCTGTGGCAGCAGCTGCTGCCCAGCTCTGCAGAGAAACCCAGATGGCCAGCTGCCTAGCCCAGGGCTTGGCTGCGCTCTTAGCCCTGCAGTGCCACAGCTTGAACGGCCCCCGCAGAGGCAGCGAGCAGAGGCAGGGCATGACCTAAGCTAGGCAGAGGGATGGAGTTCTTATGCCAAAAGTTCTTGACCAGAGTTCAGGGGCAACAGGCTAGGCCAGTGATCTGTTTGCCTGGGGTGAAGAGAACTTTGTGCATGCTCATCTCGGCTCTTGCACTTGCAGGCACGCCTCTCAGACCCATGGAACCACCCCCAGAAGCTTTCCTGGGATAAGTTCCTTCCTTGGACGTTGCCCCTCTAAATTTAACTCAGCAACTCAGATCTTCAAGTAGCAGTTGCCAAGGCCAGGCACCAAGTCCTCACAGTTGTCCCTGAACTTAAGGTCAAGATCAGTGAGAAAAAGGACTAGGACACAAGGTGACAGTGATGGCTGTGTGATGAGTGAAGGAACAAAGTGAGGCTGGTACCAAAGGCCAGGAGGGTGTTGACCAAGTGAGGGGGCCATAGGAGTGGGTGCCCAGGCCAGGCCAGTCCTGAGCCCTGCAGGACAGGAAGTCGGAAGCTGGAAGGCTGTGCGCTTTGGAACAAAAGGGGTTTGAGGGGTGGCGGGGGCCTCACATCTAAGTGCTAGGGACATTCTTGGGGCTCCCTTGGGGGCAGGGTAAAACTGGCTAGGGCTCGCAGGGTGCTAGCTTGCTCTGCCTTCCCTGACTGTCCCTTAGGGCTTACCAGCAGGCCCACATGGCTGAGTTTCTAATGGTGCCTCCCGTGTTGATCCCACGGTGCCACAGACATGTTGCCATGCTCTGAGTGCTATGGGAATGAAACTCGGCTGGAGTGTGCAGGGACTACGGTGTCCTAACGTGGGTGAGCTCCCATGGCCACCTGCCAAACTCAGTGTGCAACTTGGGGTAAAGCTGGAAGGGTGGAAGCAGAGCTCTGGCTGACAAACTGCACACTCCCAGCTCCAACTTGCACCTGCTCTTCCAGGCCCCAAGAGGAGGTCAATCCAGCTCAGAAAGCAGACCCTTTGCTGCCCGTGGGTCCAGTTTACCTGTCTTGGTGGCCTGGACCCCACAGCGGCTACCCCAGGCCCCATCCCCCCAGACTGTGCCCAGCAGCTCTCCACCCACCCCCTGCTCCACCTCAGGAAAAGGAATGGGAACCCCTGGAGAGCACAGTCTCTTACCTGGACTTTGGCTTGCCTGTCAGGTAGATCAGATGGCTGCTGAGCAGGTAGCTCAGCCTCCTAGCTTGACGTGGGCAACTTCTACATTTCAAACTGTTATTGTAAGCCTGTTCCTGGAAGCCCGACCATTCTGAAGTGGTTGCCTCAATTCCAGTCTGCCTTTGCCCATTCACTTGCCATGGAGTCACAGCCCGGCCCCCAGGGTAGAGCGCTGGAGCAGTGTGGCCTCGGGACAAGACCATCCCACAGGGCTCTCTTTCTGGGACTCACCAAGTTCTGGGGGCCTGGGCCTCTGGAGACCCACACTCTGGTGTCTGGAGGTGCGTGCTCATATGTAATCTGTCGGCTACTTGTGTCTTGACATTTAGACTCATTTTGCACACAACTGTCCCTGTGTTTGGAGAAGAAAATGGGCCAGAAGCAGCCCAATCTCAAGTTCTTGTTGCCATTTAAATTGACCTTTAATTTTTTTCAAATCACTGTTAGTGCCTAATCACTTAAGTTATTAATTTATTTTCTTTTTTAAAAATTTGTAACATGTATTTATCTTGTGAGTAGGCCCAGGGGTGGAGGGTGGGAACTGTTGGGATGGGTCACATTTTTGCTGTGGTGACACATGGTACAGGCCTGGAGCGTACAGGTCCCTTTTTACTGTGGTATTGAAGTCGGACAATAAAGTCCTTTAGAAACGCACCCCAAAGAGGTTCGGAGTCTTTCTGCAGGGCCAGAGGGGAGCCCTGACTCAGCTCCCTCGGTCCAGCCACCCTAGAACCACATATCAGGTGACCCAATGAGGCCTGCATGGCAGCCTGCTCCACTTTCATAGTAAGTGGTCGCCTTCCTGGGCTCGGAGCAAAAGAAAGCCTCTGCCTCAGAACCTGGCACCTGTCCACTCTGCTGTCCTAGGAGGGCAGAGGGCGCCTTGCCATCTGACCTGGGCTGCAGCAGCAGCCCTTTCCTCCAGGCCCGATGGCTCCAGGGTCTCCAATGACTGGACGCACACCCCTCTCTACCGGCAGCCCTCCGACAGGCTTGTGGGAAGTGGGACCCATGCACACACGGCCACCCGTGTCCCTCTGGCTCTCAGCATGGGTGTGCCCCAGGCAGCATCGTAGCAGATCTCCCCCACTCTGCAGAGGCACCTCTGTGGGCAGCAGCTGTTTTCAGGTGGCCAGAAACCCCAGGGACTGAAAAGTCGCGGCTGTTGGGACCCAGCCCCACCCTATGGGTAGGTGCCCTCCGCTGGCATCCCCCCAGCCTGCGCCCTGCTGCCTCCCACATCCCTTCAGTGCCCAAGGGCCCTGCCCCCCACCCTGCATCTGGGGGTCATCACTACTGAGCAGGAGCCGGGCCACACCAAACTGCCCAAGGGAGAGCCCCAAGGTACAGCCACGGCACAGCTCACAGGGCGAAGCATGGCGTCCTTCACGGGCGTCGCAGTTTATTCCTCCGTTTAGAAGGGGCTACAGCAGCAGCGCGGGACAATGAGGGCAACACCTCCATGTCGCAGTCCACGCCAGCGGCCATCCCGGGGTCAGGGGGGCCGAGCCAGCCAGCCCCCGCAGGGGTAGTTCCTGGTGAAGGAGGGTCTTGGCGATAAGACATTCTCTGTCTACCAGAGGGGACATAGGAGCGGCGGTTCAGGCACTGCGGTGGGCTGGGGGCGTGAGGGGGCAGGTCAGGGGCGGGAGGGTCTTCCTCGATCCGTGCTTCGAAGCACAGCCACACGGCCCCCCAAGCTCCCACGCACGGGCCAAGTCCCCAGAGACCCGAGCCCGCAGCGGCAGCATGGGGCCGCGCTCCGCTCCGGGCTCGCTCTGCGTGCTCTCTGTGCTTCTGCCCAGCGGCGCTGCCGAGGGGCGGCCTCTGCCCACCCTAGCCAGGACGCATGAGAGCTGATCTCCGGTCGGGGCTGGGGCTGGGCGTTACCTCCACCACCTGAGGTCGCCGTGCCCTTCAGGCTGGGGCCCGACATCCGGAACTCCCGGCCTGCCCCTGGCCTCCGAGCCCCCAGCTAGAGACAGCAATGCAGCCTGGCTCCCGGGGAGGGCAGCTCGTCAGAAGACCAGTCTGTGGAAGTCGCCACCGCCGCCTGCGGGGCTGCAGCCGCCCGGGGAGCCCTCGTCCTCATCTTTGTCTTCATCGAAGCCCCTGCCCCAGTGCGGGGGCGCAGGGAGCGCAGAGATGTAGGCCGCCCTGCTGCGCGCCTCCTTCTCTTGCTCCTGGGGACACAGACAGGGCACGGAAGCAGCTTCAAACTCAGGCCCCGAGCCGCGGCCCTCCGAGCGCAGCCTGCCTGGATGCTCGGGCATCCCCGTTCCCGACGACACTGACCACTGACCGGCAGGCAGGGACCTGAGGTGACACCAGCTATGGGGAGCAGCCGAGGGCGAGCCTCCCAGCCTGCCCCAACACCCCGGGCTCCCCTCAGGAACGCCGCCCCGGAGCCAAGCCCTGCTGGCCCTGAGGCTGGACGTTTTGCTAACGCTGGACTAGGAACAGAGAGGCAGGGCCGCTGGGGGCCTGCGGGAGCCCTGACCACGTGCCCCGCCAGCAGCATTGCTAACAACCACGTGGCTAGGGGCTGTTGCTCGGAAGGGGGCCCTACATGGACTGCAGGGAGGAGGCAACTCAGGAACAGCAGGCCTGAGCTTGTCGCTGTGCTGGGCGGAGGGCAGGACGGAGCCAGCCGCTCACCTGCAGGTAGAGGATGTTGTCTTTGGAAATGGCTTCCATCAGGTCCTTGTGGAGGGCGGGCTCCGGGCGGCCTCTGGGGGAGCGTGGCTCGGCCAAGGAGCCCTCCCCGGGCCGCTGGCGGTAGAAGAGCACGTAGGCTGTGTCTTTGGGGAAGAAGGAGGTGACGTTGCTCACAGACTCGAAGGAGGAAAAGGACACCCGCGTGTCATTGAACAGGTACCACTGGTTTTCCGGCTCCGGTCTGTCTGCAGACCCTGGAGAAGAGGCCTGGCGGGCGGTGCCCTCGCGGGCGTAGCAGTAGTAGTGGCCGCTCTCCGAGGACACGCCAGAGTGCACCACCACGCTGCACAGGTCGTAGGCCTGGCCCCGGCCCCCTGCCAGCGGCAGGCGGAGCAGCAGGGGCACAGCCACGTCGTCCAGGATCTTGCGGCGCCGCATGGTACGCAGGTCGAAGGAGAAGCGCAGCAGCGTGAGCACAAGGTAGCGAGGGCCCTGGCTCAGCTCCACCACCCTCTCCGCGTCCTGCAGGGAGGCACATGACTCACAGTAGTAGCGGTTCTCCGCTGTCAGCTTCTCGGGGCACAGAAAATAGTTCACCAGGTCCAGGACAGAGCGAGAGCACTCAGGTGCACAAGGCTGCTCCCCGGGGGGGCTGGCAGCGCCCCTGTGCAGGCCTGGCCCATTGTTCCCCTCCTCTTCAGCTGCTGCCTCTTTCTCTTCCTTTGCTTGCTCTTCCTTTTTCTCCTCTGCCTCCTCCTGCTCTTTTTCCTTCTCTTCCTCTTCCTCCTTTTCTGGTGTCCCCTCCTCTTCCTCAGCCTCTCCCAGCTCCTCCTTCCCCTCTTCCTCTCGCTCCCCTGCCGCGGAAGGCTCCTGGGCTTCAATGTCCAGCAAGGCCGGGGGGCTGTCCCCTGTGATGCAGTGTTTCCTTTGCCTCGGAGGCCCCACCCCTCTGGCCACTTGGGCTCGGGAGACAGATGCAAGCTCTCCAACCCCAGCATCCTCTGCAGGCAGCATCACGGAGCCCAGGCGACGGCGGCGGCAGCGCTCAGGGGGAGGGAAAGCAAGAGAGAGGTCGGTGAAGGCCTCCTCACGGGCGGAGACCTGGAGGCAGCGGAGGCAGCAGATTCGGGTCACAATCTTCCCTCCGAACATCTTCTCCACAGAGGTTGAGCTCGGGCTGGGAGGCTCCTCAGGGGGTGAGGGCAGGCTGGACTGCTTGAGCTTTTGGCAGATCCTCGTTCCTGTTTTCTCCTCTTCATGCAGCCTGGAGGGAACACAGGTCTGCTTCCAGCGCCCGACTGCCCTGTCCAGCAGCCACAAGCCCACCAGGGCCACACACGCGTGCATGCGCACACAGAGCTAGCACACACACACACACACACACTGCACTCACCTGCACACAGCCAACACTACATGACAACACCCGAGCCCAGGACCTGGGCTCGGGGCAGCAACAGTGGGCAGATGCAGCGCAGCCCGTACTCAGAGCCGACAGGGCAGCCTGCACCTGCACACACGCGCCCCGCTCGCAGCACAGCCCATGCTGGCTCACGCATGCAGCAGTGCTCCCACTCCCCTCACTGTGAAGCTGTGCTCACCCAAATGGAGCTCACCTTCCCCAGGACTCTTCCCCACCCTACCCACACCAGCACCCCAGCCTCACTCACCGATCCAGCAGGTACTTCAGATACTCTGAACAGTCCTGCTGGGTGCCAGGGCTGAACCAGGGTGTCCAGGATGCAGACAGGAAGTTCTCGGGCGAAATGGCAGGCCTCTGTGACAAGGAGGCAGCTCAGGGCACCAGCCACACTCTGCAGCCCTGCAGAGCGCAGGGCCTGAGGTCCACCTAGCCCTGCATCCCCAAGAGCCAAGCCCCCTTGCCCAGGTTCTCCTTGCCGTCCCCAATGCACACACCCCTGCACACTGGAGAGGAGCAGCACTGTGAGACTGCTCTTGGCTTCACACTTCCCTCTGCATCTCTGCTCAGTCTTAATGGCCCCATGAAAGCAAGGGCAATGTGGGCTCTGCCCTGACAGCTATCCAACCCAGCCCCTGCTATCCCCTTCCTTCCCTGAATGTCCCCACATGCCATTTCCCTCCAGGAAAGCGTAACAGCTGTCAGTGACAGGACATCATCTCTGCCCCACACAGGGCCCTGCAGACTCCCCAACCCCCACCTTAGGTTCTACAAGGACAGACAACTGTTCTCCTTTGTCCCCTCCATACTCTGAAGGTGCCGGCAATGTGGGTGCTCAAAAGCAGCAGCGGACACCTGAGGCAACAGCCAGGCCCACAGTCCTGCAAGGGACTGGCACCTCGCCACCCACTG